ACCCCTTCCCATCCCAGCGCCACGGGCAGCAGCCCCCGAGGCCCTTCCTTCAGCAGAGCGGGCATGAGATGGGCATGTGCCTGGCTCAGGGCAGGCCTTCAGCCCGCTGCACCGGTGGGCACACAGCCCGGAGCCCCACTGGCCTGGCTGTAGAAGGAGGCGCCACGGCTCAGCGGGGTCTGTTCAGCCTCCTTCCCACACGGGCTCCCTGCACACCTGCTGTGCACAAACCCCATTAACGCCCGCAGGCCGGCGGCAGGGCTGGGCCACAGGCAGAGCCCCTGGGGCTGGGATCAAAGCACACTCATTGCTGGGGTCCCTGGACGCTCCCACCCACCTCCCCCACAGGAGGGAAGCGCCCGCCCCGCCACAGCCCCACCCCCGACTGCCAGGGGCTGGAGGCGCACTCAGCGTGGCCGTCTCCCCCTCCGCTCTGGCTTCCCCCGAGGAGCAGAGGCTGAGCCAGTCCAGGTGGGCCTCGGGTTTGGATAAGGAAACCGTAGCGCAGAGAGGGACTGTGACTCTCCCAAGGGTGCACAGCACTATGATCATTGTCGCCATGGAGACCCTCAGCCTGGTCACCCCCAACGATGGTGCGAGTGACAGGAGGGGGTGCCTGGGGAAGCTGAGCTCTCTCCCGGGCAGGCTTCTCGGAGGTGAAGGTGGGAGAACCTCCGGAAGGAGTGAGCTCCCCGTCAGCAGAGGGGTCCCAGCAGCCCACAGAGCGCCTCCCGCGTGAATAGAGGTGTCTAGGTTACCCCGAGAGTGTGCTGGGCGCACTGGGTACCCCTCAGGCTCAGCTGCGTTGGGGGGAGCTGGGAGCCGGCGGTTGTGCTTTCCTGCCTGGGCGGGGGGCTGTCGGCCACGGGCTGTGCAGGGGGTGAAACCTGCCTACCGCAGGGTGGGGTCTGTGCAAGGTCAGGCTGGGCCTCTCTCTGACGGGGCGACCTGGAGCCCCTGCAGGGGGCACCCTTCCTGTGCCCATGGCCTGCCCTCCGTGCGCCTCGGTTTCCTCATCTGTGAAAGGGGGCGATGTTCCTGCAGACTGAAGATGCTCACCTGGCACCCCCAGGGTCGCTACACCACCCAGGTGGAAGGCAGAGCTCTGACACGGCTCTTCAGCCCTGGCTGGTGGCTCAGTGGTCAGAGCGCTGGCCCTGTCCGCCCGCTGCTGCGCTCACCCGGCCCTCATGGCCCAGCCAGCACCCAAACCAGGATTTCACAACCCCTGGCTCGGGGCCCGGGCTGCAGCGTCCTGGGGAGAAGGAACGCAGGGCCTGGGGTGCCTCCGGGAAACAGGGGCGTCCCTCCCGGAAGACAGATGGGCTCGCCGGCAGGGCGAGGGAAGCCCCTGGGGACCTATGAGTGGGGGTGTGAGGCTGGGGAGGGCAGGGCTGGGTTTCCAGAGAAAGGGAGGGAGGGAGATGCATGTCTCAGGCGCAGGAGCAGGCCCTGCCCTGGGCGAGGGAGGCAGAGGTGGCCGTTGCCTCACCCGGCAGGTCACTCCTCTACGCACGGGCACCGCACCTGCCCCAGGGGCGGTCCTATGGCATCCTCCCCAGACCTGGCCCCCCCGGGCTGGCAGGGAGGCCCAGGGGGGTGGTGGCCCCCGCGCATGCGGCCTGGGTCCAGCGGGAGCAGCCACGCCTGTTCCCAGCTCGGGCGGGTCCACAGCGAGTGTGAGGTTGGCCGGCCCTGACCTAATCCCCACCACCCAGTCTGCTTCCCAGGACACATCCGGGCCCGGCCCAGGACAGGGGCCCAGGAAGAGGGTCCGCACCTCTCACCTCTGCCAGGCCTCTGTGCAGGACCAGCAGGCTGGGCGGAGGTCCGAGGGCTGGGGGCCCTTTCCCCCTCGCCCCCAGCTCCAGCCAACACCTGGGCAGACACACCCCGCCCCCCGCCAGCTCAGGAGTTGGGGAAAAGCCCCACGTCTCCCGCCTGTATGAGAAATACTCTCGGCTTGAGGACAGCGCCTCAGCCTAAGGGTTTCCCGCCCTGTTACCAGGGGCCTGAGAAGAGGTCAGCGGAAGGTCAAGGACAAGGCCAGTGCTTCCACCACTTCCAGTCAAGGTCACATTGGAGGTCAGGTGGCCGAACACGGGAAGAAGACACGGGAAGAAGGAACAGACGGAGGGGAGGATCGTTGGAGAAACAAATGAACGCTGTTTGCATAGGAAATGCGCGAGGCTGGCGCCTGCAGGGGGACAAGCGGCCAAGTTCGCTGGGAGGGTGAGCACAGTCCATCCGCCCCCCAGACCTGCCCAGGGAGTCAAATGCTTTACCGCTTGGGCAGTTTGCCATCTCACCAGGAACGCGTGCCCCATTCCGCAATGGCCTAGCCCCACACTGACCGTGTCCGTGGGCAGGAACTCACCGAGGCAGAGAGAGAATGGGGCTTTTGGTAACCCTCATCCGAGGATATTTTTCCGTGGATTTTTGGAGAGAGTGGGAGAGAAGGGTAGAGACAGAGACAAGCATCGATGTGAGAGAGACACATCGATGGGCTGTCTCCCGCATGCGCCCCGACGAGGGCCAGGGAGCAAGCCTGCAACCGAGGTATGTGCCCTTGACCAGAGTCGAGCCTGTGACCGGAGTCGAACCCGGGACCCTTCAGTCCGCAGGCCGACGCTCTACCCATTGAGCAAAACCAGCCAGGGCGAGATGTCGGCTTTCTTCAAGCTGACCCGGGGCTTCCACAATTCCCAGGAAACCCCATAGGGTTTGTGCAAAACTGCAAAGGGGCCTCAGTGGAGGTGGCAGAATGGGAGGGCCAGCGCGCCCGGAAGGGAGAGGGCAGTGAGCGGGGTGGCCCTGGCTGGTGCGGGTTTATTCCAGAACTAGTGCGTGGCTCCAGGGACAGGCATGGCCTGGGAGACCACAGGCAGCCTCACGCTGGGTGTGGCCCCTTCGTCACCCGTGGGGGCGCTCCAGGGCCCTGTGACAAGGCATCCCTGCCTCGCTATGTCCTCAAAGCCCCAGCGCTCTCAGGTGAAAAAACAAAGTACGGCCTGGCCGGAGTGGCTCAGGGGTCGGTTGAGTGTCAACTTGTGAACCAGGAGGTCAGGGTTCAATTGCCAGTCAGGGCACATGTGTGGTTTGCAGGCTCGATCCCCCGTGTGGGGCGTGCAGGAGGCAACCGATCCATGATTCTCATCAGTGATGTTCCTCGCTCTCCCTCTCCCTTCCTCTCTGAAATTAATAAAAATATATATTTTTAAAAAACACAAAACAGAAAACAAAAGTGTGGAAGGCAGAAACAATGTGTACCTCCAACAACAAAAAATGAGAGTGTTTTTATGAGGGGCGGGAAGAATGTCTCCAACTAGACACAGATACCACACGTGGGAAGGTGAGGACGAAGGTTGCATCTTGTTGGCTCTTGCTGGTGTTGCTCAGCGGATAGAGCATCGGCCTACAGACCAAAGGGCCCCGAGTTCGATTCCAGTCAAGGGCACATACCTCGGTTGCAGGCTCCTTCCTCTCCAGCCCGGGGCCCTGGTTGGGGCTCCTGCAGGAGGCAACCAATCGATGTGTTTCTCTCACGTTGCTATTTCTCTCTGTCTTTCCCTCTCTCATCCACTCTCTCTAAAAGCAATGGAAAAATATCCTCGGGTGAGGATTAAATAAATAAAGATCGCAGTGCGTGAGAGATGCCGGGGCAAAGAGAACGTGCCCAGGAGATCTTGGCCACACACGTATCCAAGCAGCCACAACAATGTGTCGGGGGCAGGGCGAGGCTCCCGGGCTGGGGGACCGGGATGGGGACCCCGCATCCCTGGGACAC